GCCTTATAAAGAGATTTACTGAAAGTGGGTGTATTGTCATTGACATCTAAAACATTAACAATTAACTGCAACGTTCCTGATCTAGCAGGTTTACCTCCATCAACAGCTGTCAAGACAAGTGTGATCACCGACTGTTTCTCTCGATCTAAAGCTTTCTGCAGCACTAACTCAGCAGACACTCCGTGTTCTCCACCGCTCTGCACATCAAGCGAGAAATATTCATTTTGGCTCAGCTTGTACGTCTTCACTGTGTTGCTTCCTATGTCCGCATCTTCTGCTATTGGGAGAAGATATCGCTCTCCCGGTGACAAGGATTCTGAGATATTAAGTAAATGTGATTGATCAATGAATACTGGCGAGTTATCGTTTACATCTAAAACATTTACTTCAATACGCTGTGCATTCATTGGATTTTTTAGAACGGCCTGTAATTTCAAGGTACATTTTACCGTATTAGGACAAAACTCTTCTCTGTCTATTCTTTCTTCAGCAAAGAGGTTCCCGGTGCGTAAATTCACATCAAAATATTTCTTCTTGTAACCCGATACGATTTGGAGGTCCCTGTTTTCTATTTCTTGCACATTAAGGTTCAAATCCTTTGCGATGTTCCCCACCACGGTGCCTTTGTTCACCTCCTCGGAAATTGAGTAAGATATCTGAGAGACGGACCAGTCACAAAGACAAAGAAGCGCAACAATATGAATCCAGGCGCGTTCCTTTTGTCGTGGCACATACATCCTTGGTGCAATAAAAGACCTGAACCGAGTAAATCATGAATCCTTTGTATTAGTAAATCCTTCAAAAGCAAATTGCTCCGTTTAAGATCCAGCTATCTCGTCACAACACCATCGAGTGCCGAGTTTAAAATGACCGATGACGATTTCGTTTTTACCATCAACGGAGGAGGAGTCTTGGATATACGGGGACATTTCAATCTATGGTCTCCAACGACATCATGTGGTGAATGATGGGTAAGTTCTATCTATGCGTGGTCAGTTAATTTGCCATGTACACAAATAATGTTAGGATATCCAAATTCAGTCTAACATCGCATGATGATTGACCTCAAATCATGAACCATTAGTTAAAATGTCATCACGTACACACGTTTCATTACCAATGTTTAACATTTAGATAAATGCTGCAACAACCATCCATTGATGGGCATTTCCAAAGCCAGACAAGCCACCACAAATTTAAAAGACTGTAATGAACCAGAAAAAACAATAATCACTAAAATATTTACTCGTGGATTAAAATGAAATATAAAGTATTTTTTCTGAAAAATAAGCTAACAATGATACATAAAATGTGCTTCTTTCGTAGTAGAACAGCGCAGAAACCATATATTACAAGCCTTATTCAGCACCACAGAGAGTGCCATTTAACAACATGTTAATTTCGTAAGAGCTATTTTCACTTCACTGTTAAAATACTGTTTGAGTGTATGGCAGTGAAACCAAAGATTGTTTGAACACAATGGCGAGGCTGTCTCAATATAAGCAACGAGCTTCTGATGTCACGTTGCCCTGTACTGTTGAGAATGTTCCAGAGGGCATTAATTAAAGAGCGGGTTGGCGGCACAACGGCGTTGAACCCCAGGGTTGCAAAAAGTAGCACCATGGACAGCGCTATTTGAACTCAGACTAAATCTTTTTTAAATAAACCCCCGTGAATAAGAAACACTTAAGAGAGTATCAAGCGATTTCCTCTTTATTTTGCCACATTGTCTGACAAGACAGAAACTAACAACTTGGTCATGTGAATGCTTAGACCAAGATGTTGTGTAAAATAGTACCCTAAAATACTTTTTTTCTGTGTGCTGTGAGGGGAGAGTAGCTTGAAGACGAGTGCAAGTAAAATGTAACAAACTCTTACAGAACGAGTTATGTTGCTACTGTTAATTTTAGTGAAGTTACTTGATCTCCATGGAATACAACAGCTTCCATAAAGTCTGGTCGTGTATTCATGAACAGTGATAATAGTTGTTTATTAATAGATGAAAAACGGGTTGTTGCTTATAGCTGACACTTTGATTGACTCCATATTTGTCCATGCATATAACCTTAAATCACAACATGGCTCATAAGAAGTCAAATAGTACATTTGGATTGCAGCTGAAGTTGTTTTGATCCCAAATGTATTATTGAAACGTTAAATGCAAAGTATAGCCTACCTTGTCTTTGTTGGGTAAAGTCTGAGTTCTGTTAAAAGTGTCTC